TTTGATTAATTAATCAACCAACCATTAAAATTTGGTAGCTTTTCTAATTCGACCTTTTCAGTTACATGAAACCTTGATGATCTTTGACGACGTGGTGCTTTACTTATAGGAATAACATCTTTAGGTGTATTTTTTAAACGATTTAATGGATCTCTCTTTGGTGGTTCCTCTTTTGTATGAGACTTGTGATTATTTGCAGGTAAAATGGGAACAGAATTTTCCAAGCTATTTTGAGCTTTTTGCTGAATAAAAGAAAAAAAAATTTGTTAATGATTTTAAACTTTTAAATGAAATATAAATATTCTAATTATAATCATTTATTCGACAAAATAGCAAGTATAATGCTTCATTAACTATTCTTGCAGACCTGTTCTGTTGCATTTACAACAACGATTGCAGGGGTATGAGTACCGTCAGTTGAGTTCGTAGAGATCTTTCCTGAAGACCTTGAGCTACTAGCGGATTTCCCATTATTGTTACTATTAGTAGTAGTAGTAGATGGATTACTCGAGTCTCCTGTTTTTCGTAACTGGGTAACACCAGATGGAAAACAAATAGTAACGTTATTATTATATTAAAGTATAAAGAAATGTATAATGTTTACAATTAAAAGAAAACTTTATTAAATCATTTTCAAGAACCATTCACTCAACTTTTTTTTTTAGTATTGAGGCCATTTTTGCTTAATTATAATTCAACAGTATGAAAAGTAATATAATAATAATTTTTTGTTTCACAAATATATATTAATATATATCTATATTAGGGAGTGCCCAAATGACATCATCTTGCTTTTATTATTATAACGGTCAGGGTTATTACCAAATGTGGGATTTCTAAGTACTGCAGTCAGGGAGATTTCTATATTTGGAATTTCTAAATACCGTATATATATAATAATCAACGATCTAGGCTCTAGAAAAAAATCAAAACAACAATGATTGGCTAAAATTTATGCAGATCTTTTCATTGAAAAAAATTTTATGAAGGAAACTTGGCAAGGGCTTTATTAAATGATCATACAACTACCAAAATTATGTATTATGTGTATTTTTAACTGCTTTATGAGCCTACCAAAAAATAGACAATAGTTGTAAATCATAATCGTGAAGTTATTAAACAAATTCAATAAATTTTTTCATAAATGGTATATACTGAGGAAGTTTTTTTTTTGAATTCATTAACCTGTCATTCAATCTTCTTTTAGAATCCTGCTAGTAAGACAAGTATTAGGAGTAAGTCTTCAACTAGGACTTGGACTAGAAGAAATGCATCTTTCCCTTTCCTATTATTATTAACAATGCATGTTAAAATTAATAGTAAATTGTTAAATTATACCTTTTGTATATAGATGATTTATTATGTCTTCTTTTTTTCCTTGTTATTGTTATTAAAATTATAAATGAATTCCTTATGTAACAGATTACTTCATGATTATTAAGCTTTTGGATATAAATAAATTCTAACCCGAATTTATATAATAAAAACAAATAAATTCTATGCTGAATTTTATATAATAAAAATAATAAATAAATAGTTCTAAATATGATCGGAACTATAGAAAAGTTAAATAAAATTTAGTAATTGATTCTATGTGAATAAATTAGAAATTACATTTAAATTTCATAAAGTATAACTTTGAATAAATACTTAGCAATGAGATTCCATCATTTTTTGATACTTATTTGCAAGATCTTAAATGCAAACATGGTAGAATATTAGCTGGTGGTCTAGTGTTTACCATACTAACTTGTAATTCAGGAAAATATTTAGCAAAAAGTTTTATACGTTCCTTTGCTGTTAATCCTGATGCATGCCTCCAAGATTGATCATTATTAGTTTCGCATTACTCTTGGGATATTCTTGAGCAAGTGAAGCAAACAAACATGGTAAAGTACTGGCAGTTTGTTTTGATGTTTTATTCACTAGAATTAGGAAAAAAAAGGTGTTAAAAAGCATATGTAATTTCCTTGATTCTTAATGGAAGCATACTTGAAGAAATTAACAGATTTTAACAGATTTTTGACAGATTCCAATAGAGCATCACATAAACTCTATGATTCATATATGAGTTGCATTTCCAAATTTGGAAGTCTCTCTGACATAATTTTGCAAATATTACAACTTTACATATTAAAATTTATGGACATAATATTATGACAGGGAAATTTCCTGATGCAATTGGTATTTTGCTTTTTGTAGTCAATATTATTATTATTATTATAAATTATTACAAGATGTCAAGGCTAAGGTTTCTGGTCCAAACTATTTTCCCAAAGGCCAAACTAGTTTGGGCAATTTGGGCTTCTCAGCATTTTTTATAAACATGAGCATTAAAAAACTATATCAATCAACTTATTTTAACTTAAACAACTTTAAAGTAATTTTGCCCAATTTTGACTAATAACAAAAAATAGTTTGGGCTTGTAAAAAAGTAATTTTTGCCCAAAGTGAAACACCTGAATTGTGTAAAGATTGGCTCTTTCACCTGCATGGAATTTGTATAAATTCTGCCTCTATTGGAAGACTCTGATCCAATATGGGTTTTATACATCAAAAAAAGGGAATTGTCTTTATGTATGTAAAAAAAATAGTTTTTAACTTTAAGTTTTATTATAAATAAATGATTAATAGAAATTAAAGATTTATTTATTAAAAGCATGAAAAAGTTCTTGGAATGTGTCAATTGAGAGTGGATTATTTCAAAAGAAAAAAATAATTTGAATTAAAAAATATGGAAACCTTTATAAAAGGAATCACATTGCAATCCCATAATCAAGAATCTGTTGGTGATGATAATGAAGATGAACTGTTTGATGCAAATGAAGTAACTAATGATATGACACTCAGAGATGGTAATATTGAAAATAATGACTATCATCCGGAAAATATAAAAAAATTTTACACATGTCAATTGTAAGTTTAATAATAAAAAAGTGTAAAACTTACGTC